AGAATCAAAGGTACAAATAGGCAAGAAGCAAGACAAGAAGGTGCACCACCAAACAGGATGATTAGGATAACTACACTACAGCTAGAACCACATGCAGTTATAACAATATAATTTTGACATCCCCCCATAACTACATGGAGGAATAGCCAAGTGCAAGACACAACCTGCAGGGGTACATCATAGACAGAGAAAACAGCAACAGCAAGCAAGAGCAGTTGCAACCAGTGCAGTGGTAGCAGATTCAGCTGCACCAACCCCTCAGCCAAGATAGAAACAGCGGAAGCAAGTGTAGGGGCGGCAGGTCGCCTAAGGAGCAGGCTCTGTGGCTGCAACGTGCAGCAGGACAGTAGCGGCTCGACGGCAGCACCTGCAGGCCCCAGCAGCAGGTAGCAAAAGACAGGGCAGGTGGCGACAGGGGCGACAGCTGGAGGTGCCACAGTAGCAGCTGGCGGCAGCAGAAGATGCCCGGCTGAATTTCGCCACTGTCCTCACCCCTCCCCCCCACGGCAGCACGTGCGGCAGTGAGAGAGAGAGGAGGAGGGGTGGCTGCTGGCTCGGCAGAATCTCTCTCGTCACTCCCTCACACTCTCCCCCTTTTCCCTCAACCTCCCCCCGCAACCTGCCGCTGGCGCTGGCTTCTGCCATCCGCGCTGGCGCCTGGCACCCGGCGTCCGCTTCGAGCGTTGGCGTCCGCGCCGGCGTTAGCGCTGGCGCTGGGCGCTGGCGCCGGCGTTGGTGCCTGGCGCTGGCGTCGGCGCTTGCGTCTGGCGGTGGCGTCCGCGACGACGTCGGGAGCAGGCGTCCGCGTTGGAAGCGGGCGCCGAGGCGACGGGACGCGGGGGCGCCGATGCGAGGCGCCGCGGCGACAGATCGTGGGTCGCCGCGGCGACGGGACGCGGAGCGCCGCGGCGACTGCAGCGGCAGGGCGACGGGGCGAGCGACGAGCGTAGGAGCTGCCATTCCGTGAGCTGGCAGAAACGAGCATGAAGCTTCTGCAGTATTTGCGCTTCTGCGCTAGCAGGGGCTTCATTGCTACGAAAGGGTGGGCCCATTTAGACGTAGGTCCAGGAGCTTACAGCTCTGATAGCATGTTACAATAGTAGATTAAGCTAAGACTAGGGTTTTTGGGTAGGAGGAGACTTAGTGAGAAACATGTCGAGAGAGTTTGCCAAAAGAGGGGTTTCATTATAGAATCAAAGGTACAAATAGGCAAGAAGCAAGACAAGAAGGTGCACCACCAAACAGGATGATTAGGATAACTACACTACAGCTAGAACCACATGCAGTTATAACAATATAATTTTGACAAGAACGTGCTCAAGGAGTGGAACGAAGTACGGCCGTGGCCGCGCAGCACCTCCACAACCAGCAGGGACAGTACCAGCACCCCAGGGTCGGCCCCGACTCCAGCAGCTCCACCAGCTCTAGGAGCCGCAACTCCAGCACCCATAGGAGCACTGGCACCAACAGTAGCTCAAGCTCCAGCAGGACCACCGGAAGACTCAACAGCCCCAGCTCCAGCAGCTCCTACTTCAGCAGCACTGCCAGCTCTAGCACCGCCTGCAGCTCCAGCACCAGGAACACCCCCAGGCCGAGCAGCTCCAACACCCCTAGCAGTAGTAGAACCTCCAGCTCCGGCAGCACCTCCTGCTCCAGCAGCACGGCTCCAGCACCGAGCAAACCACTCGCGCAGCTCCTGTGGAGAGGGTAGCTACCGCCGGGACGAAGCACCCGAATGACCTCCAGACCCAGTACCGCTAGACTCCACACGAGCAGGCCTAGCACCCTCAGGCTCCGCACCCCCAGTCGTAGCAACCCCAGGCTCAGCACCCCTAGACTCAGCAACCCCACGCTCAGCACCCCCAGACTCAGCACCCCCAGGCTCAGCACCCCCAGACCCCGCACCTGCAGGCTCAGCACCCCTAGCAGCACCAGAGTAAACAGCTACCTCGACAGGCTCGAGTGCGTCTACCTGAGACACACCTGAGGGGGCAGGACCCTGAGGGGGAAGGGGGTCTACCGGGGGGGGACCTGGCGCGAGAAAGAGCGGCGGCGGGGGAGAGATGCAGTGCGGTAGGGGAAGAGACGGTAGTAAGGAACCGACTCGTCAAACGTGACGTCCTGGGAAGACATAACACGGCACAAGGTGGGGTGGTAAACCTGCCTACCAAGCGTGTCAAGGGGGAAGCCAAGGAAGACGCAGGGCACAGCACGGGGGGACAGCTTGTCCGCAGACAAGTCGTGGACAAAGCTCGAGATCCCCAGACACAGAACGCAGACGCATCGCCAACTTTCCCCATCCACCGCAAGGCGGGGGAGGTCTCGCAGAAGGTCAGAGGAAAACTCTCCGCCTCTGTCGGAGTGCACACGCAGAACAGGAAAGTCTGAGCCGAAACTCTCTTTCCGCTCGAGACGAGCTGCGCGGATCCAGTCGATCAACACCTCAGTGACCTCACCCTTGCTGCGCAAGGGTAAGACTGGGGTGTAACGCGAGTAGTCGTCAACCACCAGCAGGAAGTAACGCTCGTGACCCTGTCCACGGACGCGGGCTGGGCCCCACACGTCCAGGTGAAGCGTCTGCAGCGGAGCCTCTGTCGAAGGAAACTCGGAGGAGTGAGGAGCGGCGCGCTGCCGCCCCTCGACGTAGGGAACGCAGGTAGGGGCACGCCCCGGGGGTAGGGGAGGGAGGGACCGGGGGAGACCAGAGACAAGGACACGGGAGGCCATGCCTCGGAGACGCGGCAGGGAGGGGTGACCAAGGCGGTGGTGCTAGAGGAGAGTCTGGTGAGACAGGAGACGACACAAGCAGGGGGCCGACTCAGGACCAGACATGGACGCTGCAGCAAACACCTGACCCGACACAGCTACCTGACCAGACGCAGCAACCGGAGGAGACTCAGTAGTCACTGTGTATAGGCTCGACCCCGGCTGACGGGTGAACGTGGCCAAGTTTTGGCCCATCCGAGCACACGTACAGTGGGTCACTCGCTGACTTGCAGGAGTGAACTGGTCAACCCCCCTATCCTGTAGGTCAGCACCACTCACCAATTTCGTAGAGAACGAGGGCAGGTAAAGACCTGACAGGGTGCCAGAAGGGGCCGCCGGACAAGTTAAGACAGTGGAGAAGTGGGCAAGGACAGGACCCCCAGAGGGATCCGCCAGGGAGACTGCAACCGGCCGACTAAGCGGCGTGAGTGTGGTGCGGTCTCGAAAGAAGGAGCGGGAAGCACCCGAGTCAAGGGTGAAGGTGTGCAAAACCTGAGCCGATGTGGTACCTCAGAGAGCAGACTCACGATCACCTGGGGCAGCAGACTCACCACCACCTGGAGCAGCAGACGCACTAGCACCAAGAGCAGCAGCTGTCAGAACATTATAGCTTATACATTTGTGTAGGCTGTAGTGGGGTAGCCCATATGGGGTACAACCCAATTAGGGTTAGTACTTGTACCCAACTGTTTCATAGTTCATTCATTCTTTCGTTTCATTCTTCACATGATATAGAGCTGGTTCCCTCGTGGGAACTGTTCCTAGGGCCCACCAACCTTTTTTTTTCCTGCTGGGAGCACGCTTGGCCCCGAGTCGTCCCCCCTCTAGCGGCCTCTAGCGGCCCCTTCTACGGCCTCCAACGGCCCCTCTTATGGCCCCTAACGGCCCCGTCGCGCCGCCCTTTCGGCCCCGTCGCGCCGCCCTTGAGCCCTCGTCACGCCGCCCTTGCGGCCCCGTCGCGTTGCCCCTTACGCGACCTCGTCGCCGCCCTTTCCTACGGCCCTGTCGCCGCCCTTTCAACGGCCCCGTCGCCGCCCTTTTAGCGGCCCCGTCGCCGCCCTTCCATGGCCCCATCGCCGCCATTTCACGGCCTCGCCACCCACCCTTACAGCGGCCCCGTCGCCTGCCCTTCCGTGGCCCCGACACCGCCCTAAAGCGGCCCCGTCGCTGCCCTCCAGCGGCCCCGTCGCTACCCTTCAGCGGCCCCGTCGCCCGCCCTTTCAGCGGCCCCACCGCCGCCCCTTCAGCGGCCCCGTCGCCGCCCGCCCTTTCAGCGGGCCCCGTCGCCGCCCTTTCAGCGGCCCGTTGCCGCCCTTCCCTCGGCCCGTCGCCGCCCTTTCAGCGGCCCGTCGCCGCCTTTTCAGCGGCCTGTCGCCGCCCTTTCAGCGGCCGTGTCGCCGCCCTTCCAAGGCCCCGTCGCCGCTCATGCGCCCAGCGCCCGAGCCGCCGAGCAGCTGAACCGCCGAGCAGCCTAGCCGCCCGACCGCCGAGCCGCCCAGCCGCCGAGCTGCCCAGCGCCGCCACCTAGCAGCCGAGCCGCCCAGCAGCCGAGCCGCCCGACCGCCGAGCCGCCCAGCCGCCCGACTGCCGAGCCGCCCAGCAGCCGAGCCGTCGAGCCGCCGAGCAGCCGCGCCGCACCGCAGCCGAGGCGCTATCTTCTGTCGGCCTGCCCGGGACCCCCCCACTTGCCTGGTAAGAGCAGCGTCTCTGCCACTAAACTGCCCTGCCCAACTGTACTCACTGCCTGTCTACTGCTGTCATGGACTCCCTTAGTGTTCTCACCTTTGACGCTGAGGGTCGGGTAGTTGAGTTTGAGGTCTGGGTAGATGATCTGCAGCTTTTCCTATAGTGCGATAGGGCAGACGGTCTCTCCCTGTTTGACCTCAGTTCTGGTGCCTCTCCTGCCCCTGCTGCTGATGCTGACGCCACTGTTTGCTCACAGTGGGCCACGCGTGATGGTGCTGCTCGCCTTGCTGTGCGCCGCCACTTACCGACCACTGAGCGTGCACACTTTAGTCAGTACAAGAGTGCTCAGACCCTGTACGACGCTGTAGTTGCACGCTACTCTTCCCCTGCCACTGCTGCACTAAGCCGCCTCATTCTACCGTACCTCTTCCCTGACCTTGCTGCCTTTCCCACAGTCGCTGACCTCATTACGCACCTCTGCACTAGTGACACTCGCTACCGCGCTGCGCTTCCTGCTGAGTTCTGCGCCAAGAACCCCCCCCCCCCCCATGTACATCACCCTCTACTACATAGTCACCTGGCTCCTTAACTCTCTCCGCGTAGTCAGGGACCACTTCCTCTCAGTTTACCCCACCACTCTCACCGTTGACCTCCTCGAGAAGGCCCTCCTAGCGGTAGAGAAGAGCATAGTCGGTGTAGGAGCCTCTCGTGGTGACCCTCGCACCCCCGTCTTTGAGGGGTGTTCTCCCTCCCCCCTCTTGCCCTCTGTTGCCTCTGTTGCAGCGGCCGACCTCGTTGGCTTCGAGTCGGTCGGCGCTGCGTCTGCCCCGAGCGGGAGACGCCGCACCGGCAAGGGCAAGGGGGGCAAGGACGCTGGAGGGGCTGGAGGGGGCGGTGGAGGTGGTGGTGGAGGGAGTGGAGGGAGTGGGGGTGGTAGTGGGAGTGGTGCCAGGGGTGGCGGCGGCGGCGGCAGCAGTGGAGGCGGCGGAGGCGGTGGTGGTGGCGGAGGGAGCGGAGGCGGCGGAGGGACCAGAGGCGGCGAAGGTGGCGGAGGAGGCGGAGGTGGAGGAGGCGGCGGAGGCAGCGGTGGCGGCGGCGGTGGCGGAGCGGGTCGCGACTCTGCACAGAGGAGTGGCTCAGGTGGTGGTCGGCGCCAGCAGCAGCGGAGCGGTGTGACCCTGTCCCCTCAGCAGCTTCGTGAGTGGTACACTGCGCGTCAGCGCGATGGAGGTTTTGGTCCCTGCACTTACGTCCTCCGTACCGGCGACTGAGCTGGTGAATAGTGCAGAGGCCCGCACTCCACCCAGCGCTGCTTCGGTCGCCTGACGGACGCGTGGCGTCGCCAGTTCCCTGAGGCGACACAGATCCCTCGCTGGGGAGATCTGTCTAGGGCGGGAGTTGTCGTCTTTGATCTTAACTATGATGCTATTCTTGCTGCCATGTATGCTATTGATGATAGTGTTGTGGGTGACTGTTACCTGTGTGTACCGCCTAACCCAGGCATTGAGGCTACTGCTCTAGGTGCTGGTGAGGCTGCTGCTCTAGGTGCTAGTGCGTCAGCTGCCCCAGGTGCTAGTGCGTCTGCTGCCCCAGGTGCTGGTGAGTCTGCGCTCTCAGGTACTACGTCGGCTCAGGCCTTACACACCTTCACCCTTGACTCGGGTGCACCCCGCTCTTTCTTTCGAGACCGCACCACTCTTACGCCGCTCAGTCGGCCGGTTGCAGTCTCCCTGGCAGACCCCTCTGGGGGTCCTGTCCTTGCTAGCTTCTCCACTGTCTTACCGTGCCCGGCAGCCCCCTTTGGCACCCTGTCAGGTCTCTACCTCCCCTCGTTCTCTACAAACTTGGTGAGTGGAGCGGACCTACAGGATAGGGGGGTTGACCAGTTCACTCCTGCTAGTCAGCGAGTGACCCACTGCACGTGTGCTCGGACAGGCCGACACTTGGCCACGTTCACCCGTCGGCCAGGGTCGAGCCTGTACACCCTTACTACTGAGTCTCCTCCGGCTGCTAAGTCTGGCCAGGTAGCTGCGTCGAGTCAGGTGTTAGCTGCAGCGTCCAGGTCCGGTCCTGAGTCTGCTCCCTGCTTGTGTCGTCTGCTGTCCCACCAGACTCTCCTTTAGCACCACCGCCTTGGTCACCCCTCCCTACCTCGTCTCCGAGGCATGGCCTCCCGTGTCCTTGTCTCTGGTCCCCCTCGGTCTCTCCCTTCTCTACCTCCGGGGCCTGGCCCTACCTGCGTCCCCTACGTCGAGGGGCGACAGCGCGCCGCCCCTCACTCCTCCGAGTTTCCTCTGACAGAGGCTCCGCTGCAGACTCTCCACATGGACGTGTGGGGCCCAGCCCGCGTCAGTGGGCAGGGGCGCGAGCGGTACTTCCTGCTGGTGGTTGACGACTACTCACGTTACACCACAGTCTTCCCCTTGCGCAGCAAGGGTGACATCACTGAGGTGTTGATCAACTAGATCCGCGCAGCTCGTCTCCAGCTCAGAGAGAGTTTCCGCTCGGACTTTCCTGTTCTGCGTCTGCACTCAGACAGAGGCGGAGAGTTTTCCTCTGCACGTCTGGGAGCCTTCTGTTGTGCACAGGGCATCCGCCAGACCTTCACGCTTCCGGACTCTCCATAGCAAAATGGGATTGCTGAGCGCCGCATTGGCATGGTCATGGACGTCGCTCGTACGTCCATGATGCATGCGCCTGCCCCCCATTTTCTGTGGCCGTTTGCGGTTCAGTACCCCGCGCATCAGCTCAACCTTCAGCCCCGGGTCTCCTTGCCAGACACCTCCCCCGCCTTGCGGTGGACCGGGAAGGTTGGCGATGCGTCTGCATTTCGGGTCTGGGGATCTCGGGCGTTTGTCCGCGACTTGTCTGCGGACAAGCTGTCCCCCCGTGCTGTTCCCTGCGATTTCCTTGGCTTCCCCCCTGCCGCGCCTGGTTGGCAGTTTTACCACCCCACCTCGCGCCGTGTTCTGTCCTCCCAGGACGTCACCGTTGACGAGTCGGTACCTTACTACCGTCTCTTCCCCTACCGCACTGCGCCTCTCCCCCCGCCGCCGCTCTTCCTTGCACCAGGTCCTCCCCCGATAGAGCCCCTCCCCCCTCAGGGTCCTGCCCCGTCAGGTGTGTCCCAGATAGACGTAGTCGAGCCTGTCGAGGTAGTTGTTGACTCTGGTGCTGCTAGAGGTGCTGAGCCTGCGGGTGCCGGGTCTGGGGGTGCTGAGACTGGGGGTGCTGAGTCTGGGGGTGCTGAGACTGGGGGTGCGGAGCCTGGGGGTGTGGAGCCTGGAGGTGCGGAGCCTGGGGGTGCTGAGCCTGGGGGCGCTGGGTCTGCTCGTGTGGACGCCGGCGGTGCTTCGTCGAGGCGGGAGTCGCTCTCTCCACAGGAGCTGCGCGAGTGGTTTGCCCGTCGCTGGAGACGTGCTGCTGAGACTGGGGGTGCTGCTCGGGCTACTGGAGTTGGTCCTGCTGGAGCTGCTACCGGTACTGGTGCTACTGGAGCTGGAGCTGCTAGGGGTGTTGGCGCTGGTGTTTCTACTGGCGCTGGTGCGTCTGGGGGTGCTGCTGAGGCTGCTGGAGCTGCCGGTCCTACTGGAGTTGGTGTTGCTGGAGCTGGAGCTGCTGGGGGTGTTGACGCTGGTGGTACTGCTGGCGCTGGTGCTTCTGAGGGTGCTGGAGTTGGCGCTGGTGGAGCTGGAGGTGCTGCTGGCGCTGGTGCTGCCGCTGGGAGTACTGGTGCCATCCTTGCTGGTTCTGGAGGCGGTGCGCGGCCGAGGCCGTACTGGTGCCGTCCTTGCTGGAGCAGGTTCTTAATCTCCCGCCCTCTACTGGTCCTACTCCTCCCTTAGAGTGTCCACAGCGTGTCCAGTCGCAGTCACAGTTACAGCCTGCCTCCCCTCTTCCTGCTCCTTCTCCCTACACTGGTCCTACAGGAGGTCTTGCTAAGCGTCGTGAGCCTGCGTCTCGTCCTGCGTCGCCTGTTCGTGCTGCTCGCACTAGTGGTCGTACTGCGCGTCCGCGTCCTCCTGCGGTCCCCGGGTACACACCAGATGGCACTACGTCCTTCCACTGCTCCTCTGCGTGTCCCGTTTCCGTCTCCTCCAAAGTCCTCTCTTCCTTCTCTTGCTGACCCGGAGTCTGACTCCCTTCGTGCTGCTAGTCCTTCGGTCACGCGCCTTCTTGCTACTGTTGTCACTGACCCTTCCTTTGAGTCCACTGCTGCGTCTGCCCTAGTTGCTGAGCTTGCCGACTTCGCTGCTCGCTGTCGTCTAGACTACGCTGCTAGTCTCGTTGCTAAGTCTGAGTCTGTCTGTCCTCCGTCCGTTGAGGGTGAGTGTGCTCTTAGCATGGACGTCCTTGAGGACAGGCAGGAGGAGTTCCAGTGCTTTGCTGCTGCTTTGCCCCATCTTGTGTCCACGCTGATTGCCCCTGAGGGAGACCCGGATGCACTAGACATCCCGACTCCTCGATCGTACGCTGAGGCGATCGAGGGTCCCTACTCCTCTCAGTGGCAGTCGGCCATGGACGCATAGATGGCTTCCTGGAAGTCCACAGGCACCTACGTGGACGAGGTTCCCCCACCAGGGGCGAACATCGTCATTGGCATGTGGATTTTCAGGGTGAAGCGGCCGCCGGGTTCTCCTCCTGTCTTCAAGGCGCGTTACGTGGCTCGTGGCTTCAGTCAGCGGCAGGGAGTTGCCATCCCAAAGATGACCACTCTTTGGGTGCTGCTGCACATAGCCGCTTTGCGCGACTACGAGCTTCACTCTCTCCACTCAACTGTTTCTTAGTTCATTCATTCTCTCGTTCCTTTCTTCACAGGAGCCTCACCAGCACCTAGAGCAGCAGCCTCAATGCCCGGGTCAGGCGGAACACACAGGTAACAGTCACCCTCATCACTAGTAGACACAACATACATTGCAGCAAGAATAGCATCATAATCAAGATCAAAGATAGCAACCCCCGACCTAAGCAGCTCGCCCCAGCGAGGGATCTCAGTGGCGTCAGGGAACTGGAGATGCCAGGCGTTCGTCAGGCGGCCAAAGCAGCGCTGGGTGGTGTGCGGGTCGCCGCATGGCTCACCAGTGCGGTCGCCGGTACGCAGGACGTAGGCATAGGGACCAGCACCCCCACCCCGCTGACGCGTAGCGTACCACTCACGAAGCTGCTGGGGGGGCGGGGTCTTACGAGTGTGCTGCTGCTGCTGGCGCTGACCACCACCGTAGCCACCCGGCTGCACAGAGCCACCTCGACCAGCTCCACCGCCGCTGCCGCCAGCGCCGCCACCGCCGCCTTCTCCGCTCCCACCGCCGCCACCGCCTCCGCCTCCACCGCTGCCACCGAAGCCCCCACCCCCGCCACCACTCCCACCGCCACCCCCACCCCCTCCGCCGCCTCCACCGCCACCACCACCGCACCCTCCAGCTCCTCCAGCGCCCTTGCCCCCTTTGCCCTTGCCGTTGCGGCGTCTCCCGCTAGGGGCAGACGCAGCACCAACCGACTCGGTGCCAACGAGGTTGACAGCACCAGCAGAGGCAACAGAGGGCAATAGGGGGGAAGGGGAGCACCCCTCAAAGAAGGGGGCACGAGGGTCACCACGAGAGGCCCCTATAGCGACTATACCCTTCTCAGCTGCAAGGAGGCGCTCCTCGAGGACGTCAACGATGAGTGTGGTGGGGCAAACAGAGAGGAAGTGGTCCCTGACCGAGCGAAGGGAGTCAGGCAGCCGGCTGACTAGGTAGTAGAGGGTGATGTACATGGGGGGGGGTTCTTGGCGCAAAACTCAGCAGTAAGCGCAGCGCGGTAGCGGGTGTCACTAGTGCGGAGGTGCGTAATGAGGTCAGCGACTATGGGAAAGGCGGCGAGGTTAGGGAACACGTACGGCAGCATGAGGCGGCTAAGGGCAGCGGTGGCAGGGGAAGAGTAGCGTGCAACTACAGCGTGGTACAAGGTGTTAGCACTCTTGTATTGACTAAAGTGCGCGCGCTCAGTGGACGGCAGGTGACTACGCACAACAAGACGGACAGCAGCATCGCGTGTGACCCACTATGAGTGAACAGTACTGTCAGCATCGGCAGTAGGGGCAGCAGAGGCGCCAGACGTGAGATCGAACAGTGAGAGACCGTCTTTTCTATCGCACTGCAGGAAAAGCTGCAGATCATCGACCAAGACCTCAAAGTCGACAGCCCGACTCTCAGCATCAAAGGTGAGCACATTGGGGGTAGGCATGACAGCAGCAGCAGCAGGCTAGCAGCAGCAGCAGCAGCAGAAGCAGGTTAGCAGTAGTAGCAACAGAAGGCGCGTGGCTCGGCGGTGCGCTTACCAGGGGCGGGTGGGTAGAAGTCCGCAAGTGGTGGGGCAAGGCCGAGGTGCGCCGGCAGGAACAGGGCCGCGACAGGGCGGCATAGGAGGGCCGCGCCTCGGCTGCACGGTAGGGCCGGGACGGCGGCGGCGGCTGTCACGGCAATGGCAGCGGCGGTTGTCTCAGCAGCAGCGGCGGCGGCTGTCACGGCAGCAGCGGCGGTGGCGACCGGCCGTGGCGGAAGCAGCGGCAGCAGGTGCGACGACAGCTGCTGTTGGGGCGGCAACGACGGGGCGGCAGGGCTGTGAAGAGCCGGGGAGGGGCCGCGAAGGGGCCGCGAAGAGCCGCGAAGGGGCCGCGGAGGGGCTGTGAAGGGGCTGCGAAGGGCCGCGAACGGCCGCGAAGGGGCTACGAAGGGCCGTGAGGGGGGCCACGAAGGGCCGCGAAGGGCTGAAAGAGGGGTCGCGAAGGGCTGAGAAGGGGCCGCGAAGGGGCCTTAAGGGGCGCGACGAGCCGCTAAGGGCAGGGGACGCGACGGGAGGGCAGGCGCAGGGGGCGCGACTAGGGCAAGCGCGAAGCGCGCTCCGGGCAGGTAAGGAAAAAAAAAAAATCGTAATAGTGGTGGTCCCTAGAAAACGTTCCCAGTAGGGAACCTGCTCTATTCCATGTGAGAATTACGAGGAATGAAATGACTAGGCAAAATGTGGGTACAAGTAGGAAACCTAGAAATGTTGTACCCTAAAGTGTCAACCCCACTATAGCCTAGATAGACCATAGCATATAAGTTTGACAATGCGCGCATTCATGTGAAAGTAGAAATGTGAAATCAAACAAGTACAAGTACCAACCCTAATTGGGTTGTACCCCCTATGGGCTACCCCACTACAGCCTACATATATGCATCAGCAATGTAATCATCTGACACACCCCCATAGGCAAAGTGGGGGAGAGCAAGGGGTCACAAGACCAGTCAAGTAAAGCAAAGCAAAGCAAAGCAAGCTCAGGGTGGATCTCAAGGATACCACACAAATTCCGAGCACAAGGTCAAGGCCACAAGGCCAGTTCACATGCAGCAGAACATATATATATAACAGTGCTAAACAAGCAAGAGCAAGGATATATATATGCAGCAGTACAAGCAAGGTCAAGAGGTAAGCAAGTGAGGCCCAGTGGGCACAAGGCCTAGCAGAGTGCAAAAGCGCTGATGGTCACGAGGCGGAAGTGCCTTGGTGAACACATCAGCAGTGTTGGCCTCAGTGGCCACGAAACGCAGGCGAAGCTGACCACGCTGCTGCAGCTCTCGAGCAAGGAAGTAGCGCAGAGCAATGTGCTTCGTCCTGTGCTCCAGTCTGTGCTCCTGACACAAGGCAATGGTTGCCTTGTTGTCGACGTACAGCACTGGAGGAGAACGAGGCCGCTCTCCAAGGTCAGTCAGCAGGTAGGTAAGCCGGCGAAGCTCCTGGGCAGCCATGGCCGTGGCGTAGATCTCAGCCTCACAGCTGGAGCTGAGAACCGAAGAAGAGCGAGTAGAGCGCCAAGAGACAGAGCCAGAGCCAAGACTGAAGGTGTAACCCTGAGACGACCGCTGAGTAGCCTGGTCGTCAGCCCAAGAAGCGTCTGAGTGCCCAGTGAGCACAGGCCGCTCTCGCCCTCCAAGCACTAGCCCCATGCCCGACGTAATGCACAAGTAGCGCAACACCCTCTTAGCTGCATCCATGTGCTCCTTCCGGTGACGGCCGGGAGCAACATAGCGTGCTAAGATGCTAAGAGGGTATGCGAGGTCAGGTCGAGTGCAGGTCATCAGGTACATAAGGCAGCCCACAAGCTCTGGATACGGACCACTCGACTCTACGGACTCATCCGAAGGCAGAGCTGAGAGCGAGTGTCCCGTAGGCAGAGGAGTGGACTGAGGCGAGGAGTACGTGAAGCCGAAGCGCTAAAGGACCTGCTGCACCATGTGTGACTGAGTCAGGGTAATGGTGCGGCGTGCTCTGTCCCGGGTGATCCGCAAGCCAAGATAGCTTGTCAGTTCACCTAAGTCTGTGCACGTGTGTCTCTTCTGCAGCTCGGACTTCACGTGGGCGAGTGCGGCAGTGTCCGCAGTGGCAAAGACCAAGTCGTCGACGTACACGAGGATGTAGAACGGCGGCAGCGAGGTGTCGGTGCGCAGAAACAGCGACGGGTCAGCAGTAGAAGGAGCAAACCCAAGAGCCGCAAGTGTAGTCCTCAGTGTGTCGTGCCACTCACGCGGCGCCTGGCAGAGACCGTAGACTGGCCGCAGGAGGCTCCACTGGGTACCAGGAGGGAACGACCCAGTGAAGCCAGGTGGGCGGCGCAGCCAGATCTCCTCGTGCAGGCGGCCCTGCAGGAAAGCAGTGCTGAAGTCAAGAGAGTGTAGCTCGTAGTCACGCTGAGCAGCGACGTGCAGTAGAACCCGAAGAGTGGTCATCTTCGGGGTCGGGGAGAAGGTCTGGAAGAAGTCAACTCCCTGTCGCTGACTGAAGCCACGAGCCACGTAGCGCGCCTTGAAGACAGGCGGAGAACCCGGCGGTCGCTTCACCCTGAAGATCCACATGCCACTGACAATGTTCGCCCCAGGAGGGGGAACAGCGTCAACGTAGGTGCCTGTGGACTTCCAGGAAGCCATCTCTGCGTCCATGGCTGACTGCCACTGAGAGGAGTAGGGACCGGCCATCGCCTCTGCGTAAGAGCGTGGGGTCGGGATGTCTAGAGCATCCGGGTCTCCCTCAGGGGCAACAAGCATGGACACGAGATGGGGCAAAGCGGCGGCAAAGCACTGAAACTCCTCCTGCCTGTCCTCAAGGACGTCCGTGCCAAGAGCACAGTCACCCCCGACGGACGGAGGACAGGCAGACGCAGACGCAGCAGACGCAGACTCAGCAGACTCAGCAGGCTCAGCAACAAGACTGGCAGCGTAGTCTAGACAACACGCAGCAGCAAAGTCGACCAGCTCAGCAACTAGGGCAGACGCAGCAGTGGACTCAAAGGAAGGGTCAGTGACAAGAGTAGCAAGAAGACGCGTGACAGTAGGACTGGCAGCACGGCGAGAGTCCGACTCCGGGTCGGCAAGCGTAGGAAGAGAAGACTGAGGAGGAGAAGGCAAAGGGGCACGCAGAGGAGCAGTGGACGGACGCAGAGACATCCCGTGTGTGCCAGGGACAGGAGGAGGACGCTGACGCGAACCGTGACCACTAGGGCGAGCAGCTCAGACTGGCGACGCAGGGCGGGACGCAGGCTCACGACGCTCAGCAAGACCTCAAGTAGGACCAGTGTAGGGAGAAGGAGAAGGCAGGGGAGAGGCGGGCTGTAACTGTGACTGCGACGGGACAGGCTATGGGCACTCTACGGGAGGAGAAGGACCAGTGGAAGGTGGGAGACCAAGAACCTGCTGAAGGAGCGGAACGAAGTACGGCCGAGGCCGCGCAGCACCGCCAGAGACAGCAGGGACAGCACCAACACCTCCAGAGGCAGCACCAGCACCAGTAGCAGCTCCAACTCCAGCACCTCCAGCAGCACCAGAAGTACCCTCAGTAGGACCGACAGTCGTAGTCTCAGCGCCAGCACCCGCAGCAGCTCCAGCTCAAGAGGCACCCCCGGGCCCGGCAGCTCCAGTACTCTCAGTACGAGCACCTCTGCGACCCGTGGTACCAGCTCCCTCGGCAGCAACAGAACCTCCAGCACCCGCAGCACCCCCAGCTCCAGCAGCTCGCCTCCAGCGCCGGGCAAACCACTCACGCAGCTCCAGAGGAGAGAGCGGCTCGCGGCGCGAAGAACGGTCCGGAGAACCACCAGGAACAGAAGCAGCAGGCGCAGCACTCCCAGACGCAGTACCCCCAGGCTCAGCACCCCCAGGCCCAGCACCCCCAGGCTCAGCACCCCCAGGCTCAGCACCCCCAGGCTCAGCACCCCCAGTCTCAGCACCCCCAGGCTTAGCACCCCAAGGCACAGCACCCCCAGGCTCAGCACCCCCAGTCTCAGCACCCCCAGGCTCAGCACCCCCAGGCTCAGCACCCCCAGTCTCAGCACCCCGAGGCTCCGCACCCGCAGCAGCACCAGAGTCACCAATGACCTCAACAGGCTCGACCGTGTCTACCTGAGACACACCTGAAGGGGCAGGACCCTGAGGGGGGAGGGGGTCTACCGGGGGGGGACCTGGGACCAGGAAGAGGGGCGGCGGGGGGAGGGACGGAGTGCGGTAGGGGAAGAGCCGGTAGAAGGGAACCGACTCGTCGAACGTGACGTCCTGGGAGGACAGAACACGACGAGAGGTGGGGTGGTAAAACTGCCACCCAGGCGCGTCAGGGGGGAAACCTAGGAAGACGCAAGGAGCAGCACGAGGGGACAGCTTGTCCGCAGACAAGTCGCGGACAAACGCCCGAGATCCCCAGACACGGAACGCCGACGCATCGCCAACCTTCCCCGTCCACAGCAAAGCTGGGGAGGTCTCCGGTCTGGAGACCCTGGGCTGAAGGTTGATCTGATTCGTTGCGTACCGAACCACAAACGGCCACAGAAAATGGGGGGCAGCCGCATGGACCATGGACGTACGGGCGACGTCCATGACAATGCCGATGCGGCGCTCAGCAATCCCATTCTGCTGTGGAGAGTCCGGAAGCGTGAAGGTCTGGCGGATGCCTCGCGCCTGACAGTAGGTTCGCAGAAGGCCGGAGGAGAACTCTCCGCCTCTTTCCGAGTGCAGACGCAAAACAG